TCTCGGTTCAGAACATCCGACATCTTGCTACGACACGTCAAGGCGTGAGCTGGAAGGTTTCAAGACTTGAATACAGAGCCAGCCTCACTTTCTCAATCTTCATCTCTCATCTCCGTCAAACAATTATTTTTTCACTCTAAGGTTTTTTAGGTCTGAGCAGCGGGGGGTGATGGAATTTCTTCTCTTTTTCTTCTCATCCCTAAAAAACTCATCTATCCCACTTTTAAATTCAACATGATTTCGTAGATAATTTAAATGATTTTTACATTGTTTTTTGATAGTTTCTGCGTGATATTTTGTTATGTTGTCTAGTGCTGCAATCCTTGTAGTCTTCGAACCCAGGTCTAGTCTTTATCAACTTACACTTATTCCAGACATCTTTTCAAGCATATGTTTATCTGTTTTATTCATTTTGATATTCATTTTTCTCAACCACATGTTTGACCACTTGTATGTAGACTATTTAACGCGTAGTCTCCTCTAAGTAAAAAACTCATTGGTTCTCTCCCTCTTTTTTCGACTCTTGAGCCATTCCATCAAAAATTATTTTTTGTTGCCCAAAAATTCTCACCGTCTTCGGTCAAAATTTCATCAGTATGTGATACGGACTTGATCGATCTTCCATTCGTCCATATCAGTTAAAAGCTGGCAAGAAAGTAGTGATAACTGACTGATTCTTCTTTTTTTTTCTCCCGATCGCTTCTGATCTAGTTTTGGTCACAGATGAGTTGGAACGTATTCATGACACATACTTCGCCTTGTGGTACGGGATCGTCAATCCGCCCGACCCACTCGTCATATTTAACCAAGTCGATATCAGGAGGGAGCTCTTAGATCAGCTGCAATCGAAACGTTTACCTACCCTAAGACGCCAAATTAACTCTCTTTCGAAAGCGCTCATAACTAACCCAACCGATCCTCATCACAACAATCTCAAGCCGGTTCCCAAACTGAAACTAGTGTTGAAAATTTTGTCAAAACTGGACCACACGATGGGGAAAATCAAGTTTGCCATAGCTTGTATTCACCCAGAGTTAGAGGCAGCAGAAGTGCGGAGTGATAAGGACTTCAAACAATTAAAATCATTCATATGTTGTCGTCTAGCATTCAAAATATATGAGGTCAACGGACACGTGTGTGAATTACTTCAAACCTATCGGCGTCTGGTTGAAGATTCTGGACACCTCTGTGACGATCATGAAGCTCAGAAGAGAGCCGAGGTGCTAACGATGACAGATGAATGCTCGGACGCGATCGACAAGACCCTCAAAGTCATCGCTAAATCTGAACTAAATCATATCCAAGACGAATGGCGCTTGAACATAGAATCTTTAAATGAAACACTCGAGATCTTTACTGAATTCATCCATCAAACCACAGTCCGCTTAGAAGAGCAGAGGAGGCATCCAATGAGTCGAGATGGACCGACGTCTCGCCATGAGGGCAATTTGCTACACCCTCATCCGGGCATGGCTCATGCTCGAACGTCGGTCATAGCAGCAGTAAAACTAGCAAGACTGTTTTTGACCCAGCTGCTAAAGATATCAAACGACACCGAAAACTTCAGGATGGTATCTGATCTGACCACAAGGGAGCTCGACATCTTTGTGACGATGATTGCGACGATTTCGGTCAGCACGAAAAGCCTTGTGTACGGCTTATCGGAAGAGATCGGCGAGGATCAGTTCAACGATCCCGTGATCATCCATCAATCGATCACTCATCTGTTGTCTGCCCCTAGACTTATCATGCTCATGATCAACTACATCTTTGTCCCTAACTTGTCCCATCAACAAGCCGATCAGCCTTCCCCTAAGATTCTCTATAAGGCTTGGTTTTGTCAGATGGAATAGGCTTTACCATCTGGCTATTCGAGTCTTCCATGGGGGGCATCGAATTACTCGTCCCCCAGCCTTGATGTTCCTATACCTCTTTGTCTCATTTTGTATCATGTCCTTTCAGTCTTTTCATC